ATGTTAATAAATTGTGTTATATTTTAACACCCCTAACTTCTCATGATATGTATCTCAAATTATAATTGTAAAGTGCATCAAACAAATGAAACCGGAAGCTCTGTTTGATCATTTTGATAAGGTAATTAATATTCAGAGGTTTCTCAATTGAATCCAACTTGAAAAATTTATACTTGAGTTAAGATTTTAAATATTTGAATTGGGAAGTGAGTAGTGGGCAAAGAAATAAAAATGCAATCCAAATTGGATTTAGACAGTATTCGAGTCGTGGTTTAGAGTTGGTTGGTTCAACCCAAATTCAGACTGAATCGGTGTAAGAGTAATGTTATTTAGGCCAGGCTTTTTGCCTCTATATGTTGGGATATAAAACTAAATCTCAAGGCGTAATCTATAACCCATTGTGGGTGTTGGGTTCGGTGTGATATTGAATGTGTTTTGACTATTCTGTTAAATTTGATGGTGTACAAATTGGCTTTGCGTAAAATCAACAGTCAAGGAATATGAACGGGTGCAGTCAATAAAAAATAAACAAGCAATTAATGATAAAACAGTAAATAATGAGTCAACACAGAGGTTTATAGTGGTTCGGTCCGAATGACCTACTCCACTCTCAATAACGGCATCGATGGCCTAAGTCTTTTATTGATAAATAATATCACCGGGAGAGTATGCTTCTGGAGTATTATAGTGCTTAAAAGAAAGAGAGAGGAGGGTGTATACAGGGAGGTGTAAAGGCTTCGGAGGTGTGCCCCCAATGTTGAGAGGGCATTCGTTATATAGTTAGGGTAAGGCAGTGGCGTGAGTGAGAGGTCTTCCACAATTTTGGTAAGTACAATCTTAGTAGGGTTAGATCTTCGTATCCCAATATTCTCTCGTTCGTGTCCCTATTCAGTCGGAGGATGATCCTGGGCTAGACTGGGCTTGGTCTTGTCCTTGAACTTGAATCAGAGTAGGCTTGGACTTGCATTGGAGTCAAGAAGACGTAGGAGGACAAGGGGCAGCCTTAGGCGGCACCTGGCTTGGGTGACCCTTGGGCGGCACCCCAAGTGCTTGGGTGTTGGCTCTTGGTGCTGACCTCTTGGGCGTCCGCGTCTTGATGCCTTCTTAAATTTCCTCCTGACGGAGCAACCCAACTTCCCATAGGCTCTGTCTTGGGTCCTAAGTACTTGGGCTTTGTGGTTTATTTTAATTGGACCCAGTAAAATTCGGGCTTATCATTTGTCTCATGCCCCGAGCTTTTGANAGTACTTGGGCTTTGTGGTTTATTTTAATTGGACCCAGTAAAATTCGGGCTTATCATTTGTCTCATGCCCCGAGCTTTTGACTTTTTTTGAGAGGAAGGGGTCGAGGGTATGTGCTTCGTTCCATTTGGGTGAGTCAAAATTTTTCTTGCTTCCCACGGTATCTTTTCATCAGGGACACGCTGAACTTTTCGATATCGATTTTTTTTTTCATTGGCTTGCTGACTTCTTTCCCTTTTTTTTGTTCTTTCTTGGCTTTTTCCTTGTGCGCTGGCCCTTGGCCTTTTTTCTTTTTTCTTCCTTGGCTTGCTGACTCCCTTTTTTCTCTTTTTTTTTTCTTTTCTTNTCTTGGCTTTTTCCTTGTGCGCTGGCCCTTGGCCTTTTTTCTTTTTTCTTCCTTGGCTTGCTGACTCCCTTTTTTCTCTTTTTTTTTTCTTTTCTTCTTTCTTCTTGGTCTTCCTGGTCGTGGGCCTCCTTCTCTTTTTCTTTTTTTTTTTTTCTTTCTTTCTTCTTGGTCTTCTTGGGCTTGGGCCTCCTTCTCTCTTTTTTTTTTCTTTCTTGGTATGGGTTAGGCTCCGCCCTTTGCTCCTTTTCTTCTTCTTCTTCTTCTTCTTCTTCTTTTTTTTTATTTCTTCCTTGGCTTCCTGAGCGCTGCCCCTTTTTTCTCTCTTTTGTTTTTCTTCTTGGCCTGGTTGGGCGTCGCCCTCCTTTCTTTCTTTCTTTTTTTTTTTTGGCTTCCTTGCTTGGGCATCGCCCTCTGTCTTCTCTTTTTTTTTTTTTCCAGACGACAGTGGAGCTACTGTGGGTGTCAAGCAAATGGGAGCCAGGCAAGTGGGCATCAAGCAGATGGGCGCTAGGCAAACGGGCGCCAAGTAGGTGAGCGCCTGGCAGTCAGGTGCTTTTGAGTTGGCTGACTGGGTATTAGGACCCTGGATGGCGTGAGTAGGAGAAGAGGAGGTAGAGATCGCATCGATGTGCTCCAGATGGGCGACGCTAGGAGGCCTAGGGCATTGTTATGTTTAGGGGACGCCTTGAATCTTGCTATGGGTGGTGTCTCTCTGGTGCTTAGTCACTAACTGACATTGTCTCTAATTATAGGCACCCTATTGATAGAGCGATGGTGGAGAGTCTCTGTGATTTTAGGGTGGTGTTTTCTCCTCCTCCCAAGAGGGTGAGGTTTGATGCCCTCAATACTTCTCGATCGAGGTCCGATGTCTATGTTACTTTCTGGGAGCGAGATCTAGTGGTGCCCTCACTCCTTCCTAGACTGAGACTTCTATGTACCATAGCTAACCCTAGTTTCACTGTAGGAGTTCAGACTTCTGTGCAATCTTCTATAGGGATTGTAGCTCCACAAAGCTGTCCTGCTTTGACTTGACTNAATGGTGGTGCAACTACACAATAATGGTGGTGGTGGTGGTAGATGGTGGTTATTACAAAGTTAAGAATTTAAAATACATTGAGTATATATTTGTCAATTATGAAAAATTGATAAAATCCTTATTGACTAGCNAAATACATTGAGTATATATTTGTCAATTATGAAAAATTGATAAAATCCTTATTGACTAGCATTTTCAGCATTAAGTGATAAATAGGTAGCTTGTTACTTAAAATTTTAATTTATTTTTAAGAAGTGTTTTAAAATATTAAGTGATATGAGTTTTAGGTTATCAAACAGATTTAATTTATTAAATGCTTAAAATATTCAGTTTTAAACCTTAAGTAATGTTATCAAACAACCCTTAAGTAAGAGCATTAATTCACAAATCAAAATTTTGAATTCGTGGATTTTATAAAATGTGAGTGTGAATTAACGGAGAATTCCCTCTCAAAGCGCGAATTCAACTATGAACACCAATCGAACAATGTTAAATGGACTTAAAACGTAGACGATTTTGATGATACATAAATCGGTTTTGCGCAAGATCAACAATCAAGAATATGAATGGGGGCAGTCAATGAGCAGGAAACAAACAATTAATGATAAAACAGTAAATAAAGAAACAACACAGAGATTTATAGTGGTTCGGTCCGGGTGACCTACTCCACTCTCGGGAACGGCAGCGGTGACCTGGATCTTTTATTAATGAATGAAGTCGCTGGAGAGAGTATTCTCCAGGAGTATTACAAGTCTTAGAGGGAGAGAGAGAGAGAATCAATGTGTGTAGGAAGGTGTAGTATGTGTAGGAATCTCAAGGTGATGAAGGCCTACCTTTTATGTGCAGAGGACTTTCATTATATAGGTTCACCAAGGCGATGAGGCAGTGACGTGAGAAAGTGGGGTTCACCAAGGCGGTGTAGCTCCATATAACTGTCCTGTTTTAACTTGACTTTGGTCCACAAGAGGCTTTGGAGGTCTGTGACCTCTGGTATATCAGAGAGGCAAGCATGGGGGCTGCTGAAGAGCAAGTAGGCTCGGGCAGCAGGCATGAGAAGGTGTCGTGGAACAAGTAAAGCTCGAGTGGCAGACACGAAAGGATGCCACGGAGCAGTAGGGCTTGGGCGGCAG